GCACAACTAAGATGGTTGTGTGTGTGTGTGTATATATATTGAAATGATGGTATTGGTGTTTTTTTTTTTTTTTTTTTTTTTTAATGAATGGCAAATATTGATTTAAGTCATGTTTTCTATTGAAATTAGGTTAATTTTGTCCATTATGTTCTGAAATGCTACTGATTGATTTTTATTTCATTTTTATGGCAAAGCTTTGTTAAATGTTGTTTAATGTGTTTTTTTTTTATTAAAACAAATGTGTGTCAATTCTTGGAATATGTGACCTTTATTGCATGGGCTTATCTTGCATTTGGAAAGTTGCGTGCATTCTTCTAGCCATTCTTAACTAGGCACTAAGTTTAGTTTCACAAACCATACTGGGAAAAGCAAGTAGTGTAACCATAAGTGTCATTGTGAATAACTAAAGAAACGGTTGGTATTCTGTTCTGTAAAGATTTAAATATGCAACAATGGTGCTTTAAAATCACTTCAAAGGCCCCCTCTAATTTGCTTACTTTATCCAATGTGCTAAATGGTATTTAAACTAAAAATAATCGTTATTTTTAATTCACATTTTTATCACCTCTCACAATATTGTTTCTAGGCAGCATAAAAAAAAAAACTTAATTGTACAAGACATTATCAAAGATGACTGTCAAAGTAATGTACTTGTAGCAAAAATATAGGTTACAGTTGCATATGGCAGTTAACCCATGTAATTCCAATTTCTTTTCCCTGAGATAACATGTATGAATACATAAGGATATTAAACAATCTTTAACAATTACGTCAAAAATATATATCAAAATCCATACAAAAAACTTGATTATTCGTCAGGTCACAATTGTGACCATTAGTAGAACAAAGGGAGGCTAGGTATATGGTGTTAATGGATTTATAAACTGACAAACTTCTACAGTTTAAAGACCAGGTTCAATAATTGTTTTAAGCTTTAGTTAATAGTGTTGTATTACATCAAAGACACACCATGCAAAATTTCCATTTGTCAAACAGTGACCCCTAGAGTCGCTGTGGAGTACTTGTATTTTTTCTGAATATTAACTTAATGACCTAATATCTAATATGCCCATGACAATTTAGAAACTGAAAATAGAACATAAAAATATGTATTAGATCTAATATAACAAAATTACAAGATTATAAAATGCATTGCGTGAATTCTTGTTTAAAGAGAAGTGTTTAATCTACAATTAAACTAGGAATGTTTGACAGAATAGTGAATATTATCAGGAAACCTGCTCCAGACTTTAGGACCCACATGCAAAAACAAAACATTCTCTCCTTTAGTGCAGTTCAATATTCTTAGTAGTACCAAAAGTCCAGAATTGTAAGATTCTTACAAGAACCTGTTAATCTTAATGTTGTAAAATAATATTTTATCGATCTATATACTGCATCTTGGACTAACTTTATTTGTTAAAGGTGCAGGACAACCACCTAACAGTGAATCACAATAATATCAACTAAACTCATTAAACGTAACATGCTGTCCATTTAAATACTAAATCTTCATTTTGAGTTGATTCTCATTTGAACTATGGAACTTCTACATCTATGGAAACACATGACTTTCCAGGGGCTCAATGAGTGACAGGCATATGACCCAGAGATTGTGGGTTCAAGTCCTTTGTCTTACAACTTTATAAAGTTGTGTCATTTCAATTTCTTTATCATCCTGAAACGCATTGTACTATTCTTTCTTCCTATTAAATACAACGTGTGTTTCATTTATATGCAAAGTCTTTATTTTGAGTTCATTCTCTTTTTTACTACTGAACCTCGGCAGCTGGATGATCTCATTTCTTTTGTGAGGTAAGAAGTTAATGAGTAAGAATACTTTGGTTATTAAAGTTTCTTTTAAAGTTTTGAAAGCAAAGTATTTTTAAGTACTTTTTGAACCCATGGAACCATTGAAGGCTTGGCCCCGTAAGGCTGCTTGCAGCTTTAATTATTATTGTTATTATTATTATTATTGGGGTTTTCCGGTATTCCACATGAAAAGTGCAGCATTTCCTCAGTCCGTGTCCTCTAGTTCTCCAGCTCAAGGACCAGACCTTGAAGTGCCACGGGTTCTCCTTCCTCATCCCGGGGTCAGGAAGCACATTACGGCTCTCCCGACATTACAGGGAAATGAGAGCATGTCACTCGCCACCAGGAACAACAACACTGGCCAGAACACGACAAGACCTGCACACACACGCACACACACACACAGCGGTTATGAGTGTTTCTTCAGTTTAACCCTCTGCTGATCTTCGGTCAAAAATTTTACGTTTTGGGGTTTTTTGTTAGAATTTTTTACTTCATTGGAATGGTACGAAACTTGGTAGAGGTTTTGGCACTTGCTCTGTGAACACACACACATAAAATAACTCACGGCCATGATCTGAACAGGTTGAATGGTCCTGAAAGTGATGTTCACACTCGCTCCTCGCGGTCAGAAGCGCCGCATTGTAACTGAGTGAGGAGTTTCCTCTAGTGGAAGCGTTCGGTACTGCAGCCGAACACACTCTCACTGAACAGTTTCTGAGTAAAACGTTTTTGAATATATATATTTCATTGAAAAAAATGAAAATAGTATTTTTGCACATTTTTCATAACAATAAACGTAAAATTCTGTAACTTTTTAAGTTAACTTTTTAAAACTTGTTTCACTTCATCATTAATCTTCCAAGTGTCGTGTTTGAAAAGAGATCAAACTGAAGTCTGTCGCTCTAAAGCATTCCAGATTTAACACAGTTTAAGTTGGCAATTTGATTTTCAGGTCTAATGCTCAAAAATCGAATAAATGGATTTCAAATACAGCATAAATATAATTTAGTATAAAAAAATCCCCTAAAAATGCAAAATATTAAATAAAAAACATTATCAAAATAAAATATAGTACATTTGTTTCATTGACAAAAAAATTAATAAAACTTCGGTCATTTTTGACGGACACACGAAGAGCACCAGAGGGTTGTAATTCTCCGAATGGCTAATGCTCACTTTGCACTTCTTCACTTTAGACACAGCATTCGTGACCATTAGACTTCCAGTATCCTATGATAATGTCGAGAGGCTGAACCTGTACACATGCAACATCTATCTGAGCGGGAAATGATCAACTGTACATCTGCATTATGCATGAAAATATGAGCAGAACTTCAGAAAGTTTAGCAGCAGAGCGCTGGAATGTTAATAGTGTTTAAAGGCAACCTGACCCTGTGGAGGAGGGCTGAGCACTGACTGTGTGTGTGTGTGTGTGTGTGTGTGTGTGTGTGTGTGTGTGTGTGACCCCTCGCAGGAGGCAGGAGGAAGAGGATGTAGATGCACTTTTCCTGCTCCGACAGATAATGCCCCATCCTTGCTGTTTTCTGCATCCGGGATGGGATAACCCCCCCAACAGGACAGGCTTTATGAACCAACTTCAACCCTTCCAAATTAAATATGAGACATTGCAGGTGAATGATGCGTCGTGGCATGCATATTTCATATGTTGTGCAAGTGATATGCATGTATATGAAGGTGTTTGTGTCAGAACAGGGAGCTTGTTTAGCATTGCAGAGGAAGGAAGAGTTGGACACGCTTCAGGAATAAGCATCTCCTCTTCCTGCCGTCACACTGATGGACAGAAGCAGAGGAGCGCTGGCCGCTGAATGCTGATGGAGCAGCCGTGCTCCAGTCCTCGGGGACGAAGGGGGACCACTGGACAACTCACTGGGAAGACCAAAGCACTTTCATTTGTTTACATGCAATATCTAGAATTACTTTCTGTGCATATCTATAAAGGCAACGATGAAAAGAATATTGTGCAGTATGGATGTCACACAATGCTGTTGTCAATTTATTTTATTTTTTAAAATGCTGGACTGATTTACATCATACAGTATTTATTTACCATTTCTTCAGCATTTCTAATTCACAAATAAATGAAAAAAAAAGGCACTTCTTTATCAGACAGGCTAAAGAAATTTGTCTGTATAAAAATGAAATGAAATAAATCACTTTCTTACTCGACAGGGTTAGGAATTTTGTATAAAATAAAATAATAATAAAAAATAAAAAAAAAATTTAATTAAAAAAAAAAAAAAAAAAAAAAAAAATTAAATTAAAAAAGCACTTTCTTACCAGACAGGGTTAGGAATTTTGTATAAAATAAAATAAAATAAAATAATAAAATAAAATGAAATAGTAAAATAAAATAAAATAAAAATAATAAGTACTTTCTTACCAGACAGGGTTAGGAATTTTGTATAAAATAAAATAAAATAAAATAATAAAATAAAATGAAATAGTAAAATAAAATAAAATAAAAATAATAAGTACTTTCTTACCAGACAGGGTTAGTAATTTTGTCAGAATAAAATATAAAATAAAATAAAAAAGTAAAATAATATAAAAACACTTTCTTATCTTAATGCTGTTGTCAATTTATTTTTATTTTTTAAAATGCTGGACTGATTTACATCATACAGTATTTATTTACCATTTCTTCAGCATTTCTAATTCACAAATAAATGAAAAAAAAGGCACTTCTTTATCAGACAGGCTAAAGAAATTTGTCTGTATAAAAATGAAATAAAATAAATCACTTTCTTACTCGACAGGGTTGGGAATTTTGTCAGAATAAAATAAAATAAAATAAAATAAAATAAAATAAAATAAAATAAAATAAAATAAAATAAAATACCACTCTCTTACCAGACAGGCAAAATAATTTTGTCTTCAAAATAAAGTAAAGTAAAATAAAAAAGCACTCTCTTACCAGACAGGCTAAAGAATTTAATCTGCATTTGTGAGACGTTAGCCTCATTTGATTCTATAAATAAAAAATAAAGATTCTATCAAATTCAATTCTAAAACAGTAAATAAAAATAAAAAGCTGCAAAAAAGTTCAGATGATGTTTCTTTTATTAATCAACATGTAAAGTCATGTAAAATCAGATCTCTGGAATCAATATCTTTCACACACACACACACACACACACAACGATTCAGAGTTGTCTGTGGTCCCTCTTGTCTGTTTGATGTATCGAGTAAAGCATAAAATAAACTCCCCTCGTAATGATTGGTTAGCGTCATCATGTGCTGATAAATGTCAAATATGGAAACCCAGTAAGAACCAGAGGCTCATTGCATCTCCCACTGGAAAGGGAAGTGCAGGAGGCGCATGGCCTGGGCTTTGTGGCCGCGCTCACTGAGGCACGTGCTGAAGAAGGGGAAGGCCCTGCCTCGGGGCCCGCTGGAGAAGGAGTACAGCAGGGCCATGCTCTCCGCGTTATAGAACGACACCTTCCTTTCCTCACAGTCCAGGAACACCCCGATCCTGCCGGGACATGTGGCGACGGCGAGCGGGGTCCAGGGCTGCGTGCCGGCCGAGAACTGGGTCCCGCTCCGCAAGCGCAGGGTCCAGTAGCCGCTCTCAGGACACAGCCTGACCCGGGCCCGGCGGTTCACCGACTCCAGGCACACTCCCAGGTCCCACTTCGGACTGTTGCTCACGTCCACCTCCCAGTAATGGCGGCCCGACTGGAAGCCCTCGGTGGCGAGGATGTTGACGCACTGGAGGAAGCGCTTGGCATCACACGTGTAACTGATCATCGTGTCGCTCTCGATCACTTGGGTCTTGTTCCTGGACAGCTGTAGACTGGGATGAGCGGTGTCCTCATCGAATATCAGTGGTGCTGGGCCTGGGAAGAAAACACACACGGGCATTAACGGGATTGATTTTGAAACAGAGGGCCCTATTTTAACGATCTAAGCGCATGGTCTAAAGTGCACTTAGTGCGAGTCTGAATCCACTTCTGCTAGTTTAACGACGGGACAAATGGTCGGCGCTCCCGGCGCTGGTCTAAAAGGGTCGTCCCTGTTCTCTTACTGAGTAATGGGTGTGTTTTGTCTCTATTCTCACACATACCATATCAATACAGTTGAGTGAGTGGGTCAGGTAATCCGAGCTGAGTGAGTGAGTGGAGGCGGGGCTCAATTTGCATATTCATAGAACCGCGCATACTAAATGAGGCAAGGGTGTCGAGTTACATTCAAGATATTTTCATGTCATGAAGAATTTTTTTTTCAAGGAAAAACATTTTAATATGTCATTTTGGTGATCAGAGATGAGTTTTAAGGGATACAATGATCGACTACAGGGGGACTAAGTGCATTCCATGACAAAGATTGTATTAGTCACTGAGTATGTATTTTGAACAATGTTAAAAATGGTTGAATTTTTATTCACTTGATTATGTACTAGATTTACTGTTGCTTTTACACTCGCTGAACTGGCTGTAGTGTTTCTCCACTGAACCACAAGTCATTACATTAGTCATCATGGCCAAATATTTCCAGTAAGAGAATAATTGAAGACTTGAGCCACATACTGTATGGAGAGAGATTTAAAAAAAACAGTACATTTTAAATACTTTTACAACTTTTAAGAGTACACTAGCATATCATTTGCCTCACAGATATTGACTAAAAGCCTCAAAACCAACATTTCCTTTCATGAAATGACCCATAATCATAGTGGAATCTGTATATAGACATGTGCTATAAAGATATGCTATGAAATATGACAGTAACTACAATATTAAAGTGTTTTTTTTTATACTGATTTGTAAGTTTTAAACTCTGACAGACAGGAAAACCCACGGAAATCAGTCAGACGACTGCAGTTATTCAACATTTCCTGATAAGGGTGTAACCCTACATTTTTATGTAAACTAAAAAGCTGTGAAGGCTGCAGGAACGAGTCTGTCATACATTAATGTACTGTCACTATATGGCAAGAACACCATCCGTTACAGCGGGTAATAACTACCTCCAGCTATTCCTCCACATAACAAATAGTCACTGCTAATTAAATGTATGATGTGTGGTGGATAAAGTATAACAGGCACAACTGACCTGGGTTCAGATGATGAAACATTTTGCGCCACACAGTGTACTGAAGAGGAGCGATGCGTTTGCTTCTGAAGGTATTCAGGTTGATATTCAGCTCTTGCAGAGGTGATCTGGAGTCGGCACGGGTTTCATAATAAAGACAAGACGAGTTAAAATCTTAAAAACACAGGAGGAAGTCAGCTGAGCACTCTCATTTCGGTGTACAGTTTTGTGACGCGTTGAGCCGTGGGAACCAATCACAGACGTGTGTGTTGTGAGTGTGAACATCAAAGTCGTTGAAATTGAAGTCGTCAACTTGCATTATTTTATATTATTAAAAAAAAAAACAGCAGAATTTGTGGTGGAAAAACTACATTTCCCATGATGCCGTACAGAAGATGCACCAATAAGAGAGTCGCAACAAGTGAAATGCACCAAAAGCTCCGCCCACTCCCATGATGCACTGCGTATGACATAATCAAGTCGATCTCTATGCTGTATTGCATATGCATATTTTGTAACAAATCTAAAATATATTGTTTTTTATACATCTAATCAACATTTGTAAATGAGTAGTTTTATATTTCTCGGTCGGTTTTAATTTGATTATTCTGTCTGCAATGCATCATGGGACTGCAGTTCTTTCCCTCACTAAAGCCGTTAAGTTCACAGTCTTGTACCTTTGCATTTTTGTCAGATTTTTAAATACCTTTTTGCTCAAAATCAAAGTTTGCAATGTTATGGTTCACCTGGTTGGTTTGGCTCATGGCATATAACTATTATTATTATGATTATTTATAATTAACTCCCTTAATTTAATATGTTTTAAATAGTTTCAATAGTTTTCCCTACACAATTGGTACAGAGAACAGTGAAATTTTACTAGTATTGTCAGCAACAACTTGCATTATCAAATTGAATTAGAGATTATACAAGGAACATGATTCGGTTTATAAACAGTGGTTAAAAACACAAAGGCGTTTTAATTGCTACTCACCCAGAATTCAGTTCTGGAAGCTGTGGAGGAAGGAGACAGAAAACAACAGGTTATTTATCTGGATAAGCGAGACGCCAGCGAGAGCACAGCACAAGCTCCACATCTGTCTGATAATTACCAGCACACGCTCCTAATGGACCTCTCTACAGTTCTGCTGTGTGTGTGTGTGTGTGTGTGTGTGTGTGACTCGCCAGTAACTCACTCTGACAGCCAGCACTCCTGTAAACATCACATTAATCTTACAAATATTAGCTCTTTGACAGATGGATACCCTAGTGGAAAAAAGTATTGTATTTGAAATATGTTTCCTTTTCCCATTTTTTTTACTATATATTATAAATATACATTGATTAAATATACCTATTTTCACTATACAACTTTTAACACACTTTAAAATATTTGTACTTTAGTATATTTTCTAAAGTTTCTTGAAGTTGAAATTCTGTTTAATTTTTAAAAGTGTATTTATTTGCACTTTATTAAAAATATATTTTAGGTATATTTTTAACTGTGTGCTGGAAATGATCATTGTGACAATGCATTGAAGTTTACTTTTGAAAATACACTATAGTATAGTATATTGTACAAAGTATAGCTAAGTATTATTTGTTTATTAATGTGCATTTGTTGTTGAAGACAAAGTGTGCAATCTGTAGTGTTTGGATTAAGCCAAAGCTATTACTGAGCATTTACTCAAATATAATACACTTATGGTGTATTGTTTGTATGTTTCTAAGACACTCGCAATGAATTTGTAATGTACTTGTAACACAAATAAAGTTCACTTTAATATCACTAATCAAGCATGTAATTAGTCCCTACACAGGCATACACTTCACGTATACTTGAAGGTGTTCCAATTTATCACACAAAAGTACACTAAACGCACTTAAAGTTATGCTTTCCTGCAACTAAAATATACTTAGTATAAAATGAGCACACTGTAAGTTAACTAATCATTAACACACTTGAAGTATACTGATGATTAGTCTGGCTGCAAGTATATTAGCATTTGTTTTTCACCAGGGTGTTCTGGAAAGCGTCACTCTGACTGTAGCTTCACGAATAACTCAATCTCATGAGCCGCACTCTGGCTCTGGTGTAAAGATGTCATTAATCTTGCAGATATGAGTGACAGCTGGATCTGTGTGAGCATGAGTGTGATCACCTCTACGAGCACGGATTGGTCTGCGCAGCTGGCGGTGTGGCGGAGTGTGTGGATGTCCCGCTCCAGGTCTCGGATGGACACCTGCATGTTGAGAACACAGGTACTATTAAAGTAGCAAAACGTCTTAGTCAAGGATAACACACTAAAGTTGCATTAAAGTAGCCTGGGAAAACCCAGACAACTTCCGGCAAATGTAGATTTGCTCTGAAAGTTAGTCTGGCAAAGAGCTCATTCAAGCCCATTTCCAATCCGCCGAAATCGAGGCACCAATCAGAAGCGTTGGGGCGGGCTTTACACGGTGGCGACAGCGCTGGGATTTTGAAGCAGATTTTGTAGCCTACATTACAAAGATGGATGCCGCCGTCGAACATCACTCGTTCCAATCAGCTATCGCGTCTGTTTTAAGCCATTTGAACGTTTCCTTTTAGTTAAAAACCGAGCAAAGAACAACACTCGGAGATGTGTCTCCGCCGCTCTGCATACGTCATCTCCTTCATCGCTCTGATTGGGTTTAGGTCTATCCGCCACTCCGTTGGTGACGCCCCTCTGGAAATGATTTGTCTATGACGCTTTGCCAGACCATAACTCAGTTACAACTGAGAATGCTCTGGTTTTAACCAGGCTAGCTTTAAAGGGATAGTTCACCCCAACATGTAACCTCTGTCAGTAATTACTCTCCCTCATGTTGTTCAAAAAATAACGACTTTATTCAACTCTTCATTTCCTTCTCTGTGGGCCTCGAGTGAGTTCACGAGAGCCACGACACACACACACACACACACACACACACAGTGGGCCTCGAGTGAGTTCTCGTAGTGTAACAGCGCAGCGCTTCTGGGTTGTACGTCACACGTAGGCTCACTATTGGCCGACGCTGGTCATGTGTGTGTGTGTGTGTGTGTGTGTGTCGTGGCTCTCGTGAACTCACTCGAGGCCCACAGAGAAGGAAATGAAGAGTTGAATAAAGT